AAATTGTTTAAAAATTCTGTAATTTGATTGGTTAACTATCACGGGTAATCACGGGTAGATCTACAAAATTAGCCAATTATATGAATGTCTTCCTATGTGGTGCTAAAAATAGATTTCTATGAACAACGGAATGTGGGATTTTAACTAATCTGACTAGAATCACATAGTAGTCTCATTTAAAGTCCGTATTCCGTTGTCCGTAAAAATCTAAAAATGGTGTAGGATTATAATCATGACATGTACTAACGGAATGATCTATATGTTGTACACCGGGTGAAGGTTCAGTCGTGTAACATCGACGATTCCTCTTGTTTATTAAATATGGTTGTTATTTCAAGCAGGATTATAAGTAAATATTTAGAAATAATATGTATTTATTTTTATAGCTAAATTTAAAAAATAATTAAGAGATTCGAAAATATTAATAACCAAGATTACATTCACATTTGAATTAACGTCTAAATCACCAGGACAATATCTAAATAAATTATAATGGTATATCACGTATTAATAAAACTAAAATTCATCTCTTATCGGTAATTTATGTTCTTCTTTCTTTGGCGGTTTTGGAGGCAGACCCAATTCTTCCTCAAAGTCATCAAGTAATTTATCCATTTCGTCTTTTTCATCCTTTTTCACTTTTGTTTCTCCTTTTATTTCTTTTTCTACCTTTACTTCATCTTTTTGCTCTTTCTCCTCTTTGACTTTTTCCTTCTTTTCTTCTTTCTTTTCTTCTTTGACTTTTTCTTTCTTTTCTTCTTTGGCTTTTTCTTTCTTTTCTTCTTTGGCTTTTTCTTTCTTTTCTTCTTTGACGTTTTCTTCCTTTTCTTCTTTGACGTTTTCTTCCTTTTCTTCCTCTTTGACTTTTCCTTTATCTTCTTCCTCTTTGACTTTTTCTTTCTTTTCTTCTTCTTTGACTTTTCCTTTATCTTCTTCCTCTTTGATTTTTCCTTTCTTTTCTTCCTCTTTGACTTTTCCTTTCTCTTCTTCCTCTTTGACTTTTCGTTTCTCTTCTTCATACTTGGCTTTTTCTTCTGTTTCTTCGTCATCTGGTTTTGTGACTTTAACTTCTCCATCATCACCAAGTTTAACATCTAGATCAATAATGTCATCATCGTCTTTCTTTTCAGTAGCATCAGTCCCTTCTTTTTCTTTCTTCTCTAATTCGTCCAATTTTCTCTTTGCTTCTTTTTCCGCATCTCGGAATTTGACAAATGTCTCATTGGCAAAGGCTTCTGCTGTTTCAACATCATCAGTAATCAATATATTATCAAATATAGTGCCAGATCTCACTTGCCACAAATCGAATCCGATAAATGCGCTGTTATAAGCATGAAGTTGTGGTTCTGGGACAAAATCTGGATTTGGAATCATGGGTGCCTTCCATTCTCCTTTGTACTTAGGATTGGGAATCTTCTTTGGTTGCCATACTCCTTTGTAATCGGGATTAGAGATGTGTGGTGGCTCCCAATCCCCATCCATTTCATCTTAATAAAAAAATGAACCTTTTAATTAATGCTCGAAAATTTTAAAGTATCCTATTCCTAAACAAGAAATATCTACCATCCCAGTCATCGGGTTTTTTTGCATCGGGATCTGGGATCGTAGACGGGTGGTCTACCCAATCAGCTGGCTTATGATCATCTGGATCTGGGATCTCAGCTATATCATCCCAATCATCAGGCTTTTTAGCGTTGGCATCTATTTATGTGTTGGTATCAATTAATTTTAGTAAGAAAAATATGTATAATATATTCTTGATATTATACTAACGAACCTATAATTTCTTTTGGTGGAAGCAAATCAAAATCTTCCTCTAATGTTCCAGATGCTTCTTCTACATTATCAATCAAGACTTTATACGTCTATTAAAGAAAAAATCTCATCAGGTTATATGAATTTTACATGAATTGTAATTAATGAAATAATACTTATTAAATATATACACACATGATCAGGCTTTAATATCAAAGTATATAAATGTGTTAATTGATCCGATGGTGCCTTTAAAGTCTTTTTTATTTGTTTGTTTTCTCCCTTATAATGAAAAATTAAATGAACTTTACGGTTCATACCACAAATATCGGGCTATTAACAGTTTTATAATGACATGTGAACAATGTCACGTGATTAGTAAGTTTAGTCAGGTGAATTTGTCCAATAAGATGGATCAACGTTTCAATATATCTTACCCCAAACATGACATTGTATAATGATTCTCCTTTGAAAGACAACATATCAAATTCTGGAGGAAGAAGCTAAACGCGATATCGGGAATATCACGTAAAGGATTAATTAATTTGGTGATCTATTTAAAGATATCACGCATTTTCATCAATGCATACTTTTACATAACCTCCACCGCAATCGATATTTTGTTCATGTTTGACAGAGAATTGAACCACTATATTAAAGAATGGTTATTTTAATATTATCAATTGCTAAGTTTCAGAATCAAATTATAAAGAAGTACCCAAATCCTTGTCCGAATTATCGATTATCTTATCAAATTTCGTAGAAATCGCATAAAACTTTGCGTCTTGTGTAGTTTGAAGGCCACGAGATTCAATTTCGTGAGCGTAAAAATCACCAGCTGTTACTTCAAACGTGCCGAGGTCTTCTTTATGCTTGGAATGAATCCAACGCTAATTAAATATATAAAATTTATTAAAGGACCAAATAACAAGTGTTAGTCAAGTATATTTAACAAGCTCATCACCTTTATTTATACCTTTTCCCAGTCATTGTCGGAAAACGTTTCTTTTAAGTATATTTCAGCTGAAGTGAGAGTGATTAAAGCCAAAAGACCTATGACGAAAAAAATGGCAGATCGCCTCATTTTACCTATGTACAATTATTAAGGTATTAAAGTATAACGATAACGAGTTCGAAGTTCGAAAACTCAAATTTGTCGGTCATTTTATTATCATTTGTAAAAACGTGTCAAAAAATGAATGGTGCATCATTATACTCTAAAAATTTATATATAAATTCCGCTCGTCATCTCCGAGATTTGTTACACGGACTATAAATAGTTTAAAAAAAAAAAAATAGAACAAATTTAAACATCGATTATTACTTTTTATTTCATTCTTTTTTAGTTTTATAAACTTTATATATATATAATATATATCTGTGAAACTTTTTAGTAATGTCTGAAGATCTTGACATTGACAAATATCTTGCAACAGAAGCTACACAACTACAAAAGGATCAAGAAGTAGAGCGTATACTTTCAGCGTTTAAATTGAATCCTTTTGACATTCTTGATCTAGCACCGGATGGTACAGAAAAAGATATTAAAAATGCATATCGAAAAAAATCATTACTTATTCACCCAGATAAAACTAAACACCCAAAAGCGCAAGAAGCATTTGCATTATTGAAAAAGGTGTGAATTTAAATTAATAATAATTGAAATTTATATAAATTTATATTTTTATGAACTTGTATATTTCTTACTGCGGAGTATAAATTCTTTTTAATTTCAGGCTGAAACAGAATTATCTAATGAAAAAACACGACAACTTCTTTTAACAATCATTGAAGAAGCAAAGATAACTTTAATTACAGATCAAAAATTAAAATCTACAGATCCATTCATAAACACACCCGAATTTAATCTACAAATTAAACAAAAAACTAAAGATATTTTAATAGAACAAGAATTACGTCGACGTAAATTATTAAAAAGAGAATTAGAAGCACAAGGATTGGCGGCTCAAAAAGCTGAACAAGTTGAAAGAGAAAAGAAAAGGAAAGCAGAAGAAGAAAAATTGTGGGAAGAAACCAGAGAGCAAAGAGTTAATAATTGGAGAGATTTTCAAACAAAAAAAAGTAATTCATCTCAAGGTGGAACTAAAAAGAGGAAAAAGTTTGGTAGTGAATTTAAGCCACCTAAAGTTTTGGCTGAGGATCCTTCTAAACCTTATATAAAACGACCTACGAATAACTAATTTCTATAATTAAAATGTAATATATATTGATATACTGTAAAAAAAATGCAGTTATAATAACTACGCATATACATGCTATTTTATCACTCGATGATTTATCATGTGATACTTTGTCAAACTTTGATCTTATTGGCACTCACAAACGTGATTAAATACATTATATTTCTCGAATATATAAAGAAATTATTTTTTACAATAGTCAGTTATATACATTTGGATGAGTTTATAGTATCGGTGTTCGCCGTTTTGTGTTAATGTTATCAATAATTATCAATACTTATTTATTTATTTTGTTCTGGAATCGCATTGCTGATGCATAAAAAATAATTTTTTATTGCCAGACATTCAAAACAAATATATATTTAAACTGATTAAGAAAACCACAGCTAGTTACTTGTGCACTCTTATTAATACGTATACGTAAAACATAGAAAGATGCAAACAAAAATTTATGTTCAACCATTAGAATATAATATACATCAAATAGATGAGCCAATATGCAAAACTATGCAGAAGAAAAACCCAGTGCCCCAAAAATTTTTGGTAGTGAGACAGTTTATTTAACAATACAATTGCCCGAAAGACTGAAACGAAAGGTTTTTTTAATTACTCACAACAATAACAATGTCAAATAGAATATCTCAGTAGGTCAAGGCTATTTGATGCATATTCATTAAATCCTTCTTTGCAGAATCGTGCAAAATAGACACTTATTAATCAAAAAAATCACCCTAATAATTCGTTAGCCAATCAAAAAAATTACTCTATTCAGGGTCTAATTTTACCAATAAGCCCATATGTCGTAATAAAACAATAACTTATTACGTAATGCACTAACTAAAAAAAACTTACAAAATACCCGGAGGTATTTTGTCAGAATTACATAATTTTACACCATAAATTATACCCGGGTATTTTACAAGAGGGTATCCAAAAAGGGGGGTCTTTTAGTCAGTGCACTACAGTAAATGGAGGTGAGTCAATAAAAACGCATCATATATTTTTTCTAAATAAATTTTTTTAAAACTTTAAACAAAAAATAACTTGGCAATAATTTAATTAAACTTAATAAAAAAATTTTTTAACCAATTCTAAAAACTTATAAAATTTATTTAAAAAATTCTTTATTAAATTTAATTAAGTTTTTGTTAAGTTATTTTTGTTAAAATTTTATTAAAAAACATGATGTGTTTTTATTATCTTCATATTAAGAAAAAATAACTCTACAATTATATTTAGATTATAATACTATTTTTTTTCTTTTAAAAATACAGTTTAGTTTTAATATAAGGTTATATAAAGTAAATTTTTTGGTTTTTATAATATAAGATGAAACAAAGAATCTGACAACCTGGATTTTTTTTTTAAAAAAAAAATTTTAATAGATAGCAAATATATTTATACATATTACTTCAAATATAAATTAGTTTTAAGTATAATAGTAACATAAAAAATTATATATAGAAGTTTATAATATAATAAATTTTATTAATAATTCTTATATGAGTTAGTTAAGATTCAAAAACTCTTTCTTTCTTTCTATTTCAATTTTTGATAAAGGGTAAAATAACATATACAATAATAAACAAGTAATCAAACTTTAAGAAAAACTATAACATAGAAGTTAAAATTTTTGTGTTGAAGAAAAGAAAACAAGTCTGTATAGTTATGTTTGGTTCTTTAATAGGCAAGACAGAAAAAAACAAAAAAATCAAAGTTTTCTTCTTTGAAGAAGGAAAACAAAATCAGGAAACAGAGTTACCAAACAAGATTAAAAGTTTAAAAAGATTAGTTCTAAATATCTCAGCAAATGCAAATGAAACAGTAAGTTTTAATAAAAATTATATTAGTAAAAAATCTTTAAAAGAAAGTTAAAACTAAGACAAAATTAAAGAAAAAGTTAAAGACATGACAGTTAACAAAAAAATATATTAGAACCTATTAGAATAACTAAAACAAATAGAACATATATCACAAAATAGTTATGTGGAATATGATAACAACAAAATACAATATATAAATTATATGACTAAAGAAGCAGGTAACTAACTAAGACCAAGACAATAATCAGAATTGTTCTCTAAATTAGAAAAAAAAGAGTAACATATTTTACCTACTTATCAAAACAAAGAATATAAAGAATAAGAATACTTTGATTTTTGAAATACATAATTTAGAAAATATTTCAACAACTAACATTATAGAAACAATGATGCAAAAGTTCAGAGAAAACATAGTCATAGTCAAACTAATTATTTTCAAAAGAAAAAAAACATATTTGAAAATAGTTTTTGTAAATAAGGATAAACAACAGCTATATTCTGTAAAAGATCTTGTCATCTTCAAACAAAACTTTTAGGAATATATTTCAATTAATATTAGATATAGCTTTTTTTCAGTTAGGCTTTGAAATGCCTTTATAAACTAAAAAGATTTTATTTTAGACCAAATTAAAATAACATTTCAAGATGTAGATCTAATTGCATCTATTAAATCTTTAGTTTATAAAGGAACTTTGATATTATTAGACCAATAATTAGTAATTTTTGAAACAACAGATGATTCTGAACTCACAAATAAAATTTCTAGATATATACATATTTGGAATCACAAAATAATAATAGACTAAAGAAAAATTCCAAAATTTAGTTATTTTTGTAACAAAACAAGACATATTAAAAAAGAATATCCTAAATAGCAAACATCAGTTGAACTTAAAAATTTGCAAAAGGCAAGAAGGTTACAAAGATTACAAGAGAAAAAATATATAAATCATTAAAAAAGAACTATAGTAGAATTTAGCGCAAAAAATTCTTATACTAAAGAACTTAGTTTAGAAATAAATCTTGATAATAAGAAAGCAGAACAACCAAAAACAAAAATTGAAACTAATAGTAGCTCTTCAAATAATAAAGAAATAGAATAACTAAGAATAGAAATTTAAATAAATAATAGCACTAAAAGCACTTAATTTATGTTTTTAGAAGAAACAATACAAAAAGAAATTAAAATTACAGAGGTGTGGTGACCTAGTGAAGTGGATAGATTGTCAACCCTCAAGTGGCAGGTCTAAGGTTTAATTCCTACAAATGATGAATTTTGGAAATTATACCTGTGTTACGGTAATTGTCTCTTGCCAATCAGTTGGGTTTTGGGCATCTGTAATCTTAAGTACACCAAGTCAGGTCCCACCTGACATTGGAAGCTGGGGGCATCTATGCGAAGTGTAATGTTACACAGTACATATACATAGAGGAATGTAAAACTGATGTGTATAAGGCTTTGGGCAAACCTACAATAAGACCACCGGGCGTAGAAGGCTAAGAAACCGAAGAGACAGAAACTCACTTGAAAATCCTAAGTAAAGAGATAGTACAAACTTTCAATAGTGCCATTGGACTGATGGAAGCTCATGAAACACCTTTATAGAAACTGTCGGATAAACCGGATGACAAAGATGTGTAGATGAGTATATGACCAACCAAGCTGCTGGAATTGTCAAAGGAAAAGAATACATAAGTATACCATATCGGGCTATCTGAATTGGGAGTCTGAAGAGTCGGTTAGTTCCAAGTTGTGGCTAGTAGGAAATGATGAAGAAGAAGTTGGAAAGATAAGTACCAGAGTTTGGATGAACTTTACAAAGGTAATAGCAGTTTAAGAGATAATCCTGACTGCAAGTGTTGGCCTTGATTATAGTGTTAAACCAGGTTAGCGGTAAAAGAGAATACAGCTTGCTTTAGTGGGTTTACCTCAAGGATAAAAACAGTCTAAAGATTATAGTCCTATGGTCAAATGTGAATAGATCCAGGTCTGTGATCTGGTAAAATTAATACTAGGGTTAGATCAGAGGGTTTAAATAAAACACCTAAGCAGGGGTGTT